ATTTGTCACCAAATATAATTTTTATCTTCTCAGCTATGATTTTCGTCTTTGAAAAGTAAAGTTTTTGTTATAGATTTTAAAGTATTTTCAACTAAAACTTGGTGCATGATACATGTACAACTTCAACTGGTACGTCACACTTTAAAGAAAATAGCTGCGCCATTTACATATCTCCTTGTACATTTACATATCTCCTTGTACATTTACATATCTCCTTGTACATTTGCATAGCTCCTTGTACATTTTAGTAAGGAATTGTGTACATCAAAGGGCAGGAATAGGCCTACATCTAATTTTTCAGAATGCCTACAATTATTCTTTGGGGTGTGATTTCCTTTAAAAGTATTTGTTTACGAAGCTACCTAAATGTTTTAAAGAAAAAGAAAAAGAAATTATCACTTTGCATAGGTTTTAAGGGGTATAGTTATAATTTTTTTTCTTTCAGTTTGTTTTCTCCATTTTTTTCTCCATTTGTTTTATTTGTCTGTGGGACACTTGTACGTTAGTGATGTGTATACAATAAGAATTGTTTTACAACATCTTTTGATTCTTTTCAGTGCCCAAAAGCATTCAAAAGATGCTGCGACCGGGGATATGTTATGCCCCCCCCCCCTCACTATGAGTATACGATCTGACTACCATCCGATTTTGGAAGAATTTGTCATAGCATTTGATATGAACATTCAAGCTTCTAAAATTGAATGATCGATGATTTGAATAGTCATAATGATTAATGGCATCAAAATTTTAATTGTTTTCAAGCTTCCTTGGAGTGAGGGAGAATAGCTAAATCGGCTCAAAATCGTAGTGACGTCATACCAATAGTGTGATTGTCTATGATTCGGCTTTTATTGTTACTAGGAGGCATACATTAATTGAAAATCTGGTTGTTAGTATTCTTTTCATGTTTAGAATCTACATGAGGAAGATGATGTTTGATTAGTTTCCTATATTTATCTATAGAACTGATTTTTCTTTGAAAATCGGATCACGGGAAGATCGAATAGTGTGCGATGGGCTTACTTATAGTGTGATCAAGAAGTTACCAGCAACTTCTTGGTGTGATGCAACTTTGCAATCTGACATGAAGACCGTTTCATGCATACCAACAAGGTTATGTGAAACAGTTTAGTAGTGATCATAATCTTGAAAAATATAATTAACTTCTATGGGCCGGATGACGTTACACATGAATTTTAAGGCATGGATATTTGTGATTGGAAAAAATGTAGAAGTTTATTCGGAATATTCAAAATAGTTTATTATGTAGTATGATGTATGTATTGTGAGGTTTGTAGTCTTCAACACGGTTGCAGAATGATTTCATCTTGATGGAAATTACACAGAGTGTAAAGTATATCACACAGGTATGAGTATAATGAACTAGACAAACCTTTTGGGTCAAAACTTTTAAAGGTTTAGTTAAAAGCTAAAAGTTAAATTTTAGCTTAATAGTGTATATTAGAGCTTTTTTTTTTAATTTTAAGATTTTTCTTTTTCGTATTTGAGCACCTCAAGGACAATCGCTAATAACACGATCGAAAGTTCCATATCCCATTTATATATGCCACATCAATTTATATATAGCGCAGCTACTATACGCTGTGATGAAAACAGTACTCCCAACAGTGCTACTTCACAGATAACACAATAAAAACTGTTCAAAAGTTCCTGAAAACAAGCGCGTCTTCAAAAAGACTTTGAAGACAAAAAAAATGAGGCCTTTCTTAATGGAGCGGCGCAACAAGCTCCTGAAAGCCAGTGTGAGGTAGCTTTAGAAGTTAATGTTCTCACACTTCAATAGGTGATGGAAGAACGAACGAACGAACATTGAAATAGGTCGTTTTACGAAATCCTTTGCTAGCTATCGTGTTTATAATAAAATAAAAATCTATCTAGGAATAAACGGGATGAGAGCTCTTATTCTGACCTTGACCAGAACTTCATCAACTTTCTCTTGAAAGAGATGATTGAGTTTGGATTGAAGGGGACAATCACTCGTGAGCTATCGCATGCAATTCAATATTTAGTCTACTTTTTTCTCTCTCTCTCTATGCGGACCGTGTGTTGTGGTGTGAGGGGTGTCCTTTGTTTCATATCAGTGCATTTCACATTTAAACTGAACAACAGCCGTAGAATGATAGTAATGAAGGCCATACATATTTTTAGACCATTTTCTCTGGGGGACGTCCTAAAATACTTGATCATGATATTGCTTTCCTGCTAATGAATGGCTTGAGAAGAAGGGGGCAAGGTACAGTTTCTTGTTTAATATTTAGAATTACTCACTCCCTCCCACTTCTTATAGAAGCGTTATCAGATGAATCTCACTTCAAAGAATCTATTTAATGATAAAACGTCGCTTGATTAGGCTATTTCGTTTCAATTCCCGGCTGAAACAAAGGAAATCTCTCACAAAATTATTAGTTCATGTCGGTGTAGCGGGCCTGTATGAGATTATATTCTGCCCTGTAATGGTCTTGAATTACCCCCGACTTGAGCGGCTAATTGTTTCGGAAATTCGGTGTTCGTGAGCGAACATGACGCGACATCCCGCGATTTGAGTAGGACCCACCACTCCCCTCCCTCCTCTTCCCGCCGAACCTCATGGGGGCAAAAGCCGGACCTACGCCTCGCTGCCTCCAGCTTTGACAGTTGGCTGTATGACGCGGTTTGCGCTCGCGCTACGTAAACTGTGTCGATAGCTTTCCCTCAACGCTTTGAGGGGGGCTGAGGCAGGTCACCGTGCTGCGGAGAAGGGGTGGGGAGAGAAAGGAGGGGTTTTTCCCTCTATGTCTCCTGCTTGAGTTTTGGGTGGGTTAGGGGTAATTTTGACAAGAAAGCATAGGCACACCATTGTTAAACTTTTGTCAGATTGTTTATGCAGAGGGGAAATAATAATCTTGCACTGCACTGAAACATAATTTAATAATGACCCGAAAGATTCCATTTTAAGGGGGAGAGGAGTTGGAAAGGTGCCTTCTAATTTCTTCTGTTCACTACTCTCTTAATTTACAATCTTACAGCACCCCCCTCTCTCTCTATCTCTCTCTCTCTCTCTCTCTCGCTTACTTCATTATCTATCGATGTATATTACTTTCTCATTTTTCCCATGATCTTTTGCACGAAAGTTTCATAGGCATACATTACCGCATAACTTGCCATTTCCTGACGTGCATGTATTCATTATTTTCCCTTCTTTCTTTCTTTTTTCTTCTTATTCTTCTTTTCCTTCTACTTCTTCCTCTTCTTCATCTTCTTATTCTTCTTTTCCTTCTACTTCTTCCTCTTCTTCATCTTCTTCTTCTTCTTTTCCTTCTACTTCTTCCTCTTCTTCATCTTCTTCTTCTTCTTTTCTTCTTCTTTTCTTCACCTTTTTCTTCTTCTCCTTCTTCTTCATCACCTTATCCTTCTTCTTCTTCTTCTTTTCCTGCTTCTTCGGTATAATGCCATAGAAAGCTCCAAGTATTTAAATTGCATGCTTTTGAATTAAATATCTTGTCTTTCAAAATTCCTGTTCTGAAAAAAAAGTGTAATAAGAAGATAATTCCCTCAACTCCTAAATGTCGTCAATCACAAAATATTATCTATTCCCGACATAATCATCGACATTAAAGCAACAAAAGAAGGTTCATCTGAAATAATGCAATGAAATTGCAAAATTTTACAGGATAGATTTGTTTTTACTTATAGTGTTTTCTGTTTATATTTCGTTTTGTTTAACAAATTCCAAATCCACAAGGCATGTGCGTATCAGGTTCATAATGAAATATTTAAACTAAAACTTGAAAAGCGTTGTTATTATATTTGTAAGATGGTAGTTATATGGTTTCTCTTATTTCTCTCCTTTCATTTCGTTGTCTCTGTCTCTCTCTCTCTCTGTCTACCCCCTCTTTCTCTCTCTCTCTCTCTCTCTCTCTCTCTCTCTCTCTCTCTCTCTCTTTCTCCCTCTCTCTTTCTCTCTCTCCCTCTCTCTCTCCCTTTCTATCTCTATCATCATTTTAATATGATATAAACAATTTCGAAAACCTTATTTACCTATTATCTTTTTTCTTTTTGGAAAATAAAACTTTTGTAACTTTTCAGCATAGTTGGTACGAAATCCAGCCCATATCAATATGCTATCATAAAAAAGTAGGTTCATACAAAAACTGTAACTGATTTTTAAATCAATTTGGCTATTCTGTTTTATTTAAGACACATCGGGTAGTTTCATTTACATGTAGTACCAACATGTATTACTATACACGAAATAGCCCTATGATATGCAAAGTAAAGTTTTACACATACACAATACGTTAGATATTCCACAAGACATTCGTATCAATGGATTTAATCAAAAGGAGCTCTCTGTCTTTATTCGTTGGAGAATGAAATAAACGAAACCCAAATTTAACTGACAAAATTCATCACAAAAAATAACATACAAATCAAGAATAGATATTTTATGCGGTTTTAATTCAAACACACTTCAAACACTCTTAAACACAAAAAGACAACAGTGTGATAAAAACGTCTGAGAATTGAAATAATCTTTTTAAAAGTCTGTATTATTTTTATTCATTAACTACGGATTTCATAATCATAAGGTTCACTCTCATTTTTTAATCATCTAATCATTTTCATTGAGTAGTTTTCGAAGAAATTGACAATCTTATCAGATGTAAGCTTACTTTATTACCCTTGGACACAAAGGCCGCGGAACCAGTGAGAGACCGGGGGCTGCCCCCTCCCTCTCTTTGAATGAACACGTTTCATATACCGCAACATTTTCGTTCGCATGCTCAGCCCCCGCCCCCCTTCAAAATGCTCCGTTGATCCTGAGATAAATCTGTGCAGGTTTTAAATGTAGGATGTAATAAACAATAGCCTGGAAAGATTGAGCAAATATAAAGTTAAAACTTTTTCCTGGCCTTTTTTAAGGAGCCAAAAATACTTTGCCCGATTTATCGCAAAGGGTGTTCCCCTGAAAGATCTTACTGAAAAATAAATGTTTTTCATGTCAGACCCTGTTTATTATCAAGGTATATTCTATTTTTTGAGTAAACCTATTTTCTATTTTTGAGTAAGCTTATATTACTTTAAATTGTTGAACCCCTATTTAAAGTGTACCTTTAAACTATGTTTCTATTAAGATCACCTCTCTGGTATATGCTACTGGTGAAACAAAGAGATGGGAACAAAAAGACCCCTATTCGATAGGCCTTGTTTATGTCTTAAACCCAGACCACTTCCTTTATTCGTAGAGTACATAAATGATGAATGACCAGTGGATACACTTACTGGTACCCCTTTGTCTTGGGGGTAGGGAATAGTGGGGTTGTTTGCCTGGTTTGGAAGAAAGATTGGCTTTCTCGTTGAGAGCAAGTTTAGACTTCAAGGCAGATAGACGTGTGATGTAACTTCCCCCAGAAGTTACTATGTCGCAGCTTTTTAAGACCTGCCTTGATTTTGTTTCTTAACAGGTAAGCGAACACCCACCTTCCTAAAAGTATATTCATGTTTTATTCTAGTAAATTATAGAGATATCACAAGTTCCTAATGCAATTTGAATGAATTGTACGATACTGTTTAGTGTGATTCTCCTTACGTTGGAAAACCCATTGTTATATTTTCATGTGTTTGTCCCTTAACTTTTGATACAAGATGGTTGTGACTGTGTATGAATTAAGATACCACTTTCCACAAGCCAGACCTATTTATAGATATTTCAGTCATTGTAAAATACTTTTGATTAGATAGTTTAGTGATAACCCAATAACTGCTTGTAAGACGATAAATACTCTTGTTGAATTACTGTGTTCCATATAAAGAAGAATTATTATTGATTAAGTAGGAGAGCAAGTTTAGACTTCAAGGCAGATAGACGTGTGATGTAACTTCCCCCAGAAGTTACTATGTCGCAGCTTTTTAAGACCTGCCTTGATTTTGTTTCTTAACAGAGTTCCACCATGGTTCCACCATGGTTCCACTTCCATTTCCCTCGGGACAAGAGTTGGGACTGCTGTCGTTGTTCAGGCAACGCTCTCCGCCTGATCGATGTATTTAGTGCTTATTGACGAACGACTCGTGTTTTATCATTGGTGCTTTATATGAACATCTATTTTCTTCTATTCTTCGATGTTTTTTCTAATGTACAGTGTAGTTTACTTTGCTCTTTTGCTATCATTCTTGTAATAAACATTGTAAAGCTTTGCATGTAGCTGTTTTTGTAATATTGTTGTTTGAAATCGGAAATGCCAGTTGTCACACTGGGAGTTTATTATCGGTGTACCTTTGACACTGAATATTAATAAATACCTCTTTGGAATTATCATTGGCACAAAATATATGTTTCAGACTTATGTATTTTAATGGATCTCCGTGTTTACTAATCTTAATTAATTGAACCGGCGCAGGCATATAAGGCCTGTGTAACAAATGGAGGCACTGCCCGGATGTTAAATTTTCTTGGAAAATAATAGTTGTTTTTCCCAAAAGGAAAATCTTGTTTAGGTTATACATTTTTTATAATTGCTTTTAATTGAGAATTAGGTTCTCTTTACCTCTCTCTTGCTTGGAAGAGATTAACAATATTCTGTGTATATGATTGTTGTTGTGTTGATTGCCACAACTTGTAAAACACTAAGTTGGACATAGCGTATATTTGAAAGTGGTCTTAATAATTTGAAGTGTGACCTAATCAATTTTTGTTGCTGTTGTTCAGGTCAAATCAGTAGCAGCCCTACTACTGACAGGCGTAACAGTAAACAAGGGGTAGCTTGTCCAGCTTAGTTGTTATTGTGGTTTCTATTTTGCCTTATCAATATTCTCATCATATAATTATTTTTGTTTTCTATATAATAATTAGCACGTTCTTGAATCCTGATTGGTGTTATAAATAGTATATTTAGGCACCTTAATATCTTAAACTATTTTGTTAACCCTGTTTTTGGATAGTTTAGCTTTATAATCTGTTTAAAGATGTCTGACTCTTACCCTAAGTTTAAGGCAGAGCTAGTGAAGTTTCTGGCCGAACAGGTGGCCAAAGATAAACGTAAGAAGAGTTCCATAAGGCGATCTGCAATTATGAGTTTGCAGATGAAGCCATCTCATCAGGCCACATCTGATAAATCTCCAGCCGCACTAGTGGGTACCCAATTCACTGTCTGGGCTGAGATTGACGGAGTGTGTGCCCTGTGAGTGCCTGGACACTGGGTCGATCCCAAGTGACATGCATATCTGCTTATTGTTATCACGAAAAGTTAGCGCACCGTCACTTGGAATCCATGACGACCTGTTCGTGTTTGGTGCAGGTGGAATCAGAAGTTCCATACATTGTTGGGTACATCGAGGCCCATCTGCACTTTCACACTGACAATTAGGTTTGCGTTCAGTCAGAGACGACAACGCTGGCACTGGTTATTTTTATTTTACAAGTTTTATTGGACAAGTTAGCACCAAACCAATGAAATCCTTAATTGCCACCACCCTTCCCGGGTGAAGCTCATTCTACCCAAGAATGAAGCATAGTGGCAGGAGTTAGTTGGGTGTGGTGTTTGACTGAAGAGGTGCACCTAATCTTTAGGTCATTTACAGCGAATTACATCTTGCCATCTTGGTAGGAAAGTATGAGATTGGTTAATCTCTCTCTGTCCTCTGAAGTCTGCGGAAATTTATCATTGTATTGACTTGTAATTAAAGATGTCGGGACGCCATGATTCTAGGAGGGGAGAGTGTCAGACCCTGTTTATTATCAAGGTATATTCTATTTTTTGAGTAAACCTATTTTCTATTTTTGAGTAAGCTTATATTACTTTAAATTGTTGAACCCCTATTTAAAGTGTACCTTTAAACTATGTTTCTATTAAGATCACCTCTCTGGTATATGCTACTGGTGAAACAAAGAGATGGGAACAAAAAGACCCCTATTCGATAGGCCTTGTTTATGTCTTAAACCCAGACCACTTCCTTTATTCGTAGAGTACATAAATGATGAATGACCAGTGGATACACTTACTGGTACCCCTTTGTCTTGGGGGTAGGGAATAGTGGGGTTGTTTGCCTGGTTTGGAAGAAAGATTGGCTTTCTCGTTGAGAGCAAGTTTAGACTTCAAGGCAGATAGACGTGTGATGTAACTTCCCCCAGAAGTTACTATGTCGCAGCTTTTTAAGACCTGCCTTGATTTTGTTTCTTAACAGGTAAGCGAACACCCACCTTCCTAAAAGTATATTCATGTTTTATTCTAGTAAATTATAGAGATATCACAAGTTCCTAATGCAATTTGAATGAATTGTACGATACTGTTTAGTGTGATTCTCCTTACGTTGGAAAACCCATTGTTATATTTTCATGTGTTTGTCCCTTAACTTTTGATACAAGATGGTTGTGACTGTGTATGAATTAAGATACCACTTTCCACAAGCCAGACCTATTTATAGATATTTCAGTCATTGTAAAATACTTTTGATTAGATAGTTTAGTGATAACCCAATAACTGCTTGTAAGACGATAAATACTCTTGTTGAATTACTGTGTTCCATATAAAGAAGAATTATTATTGATTAAGTAGGAGAGCAAGTTTAGACTTCAAGGCAGATAGACGTGTGATGTAACTTCCCCCAGAAGTTACTATGTCGCAGCTTTTTAAGACCTGCCTTGATTTTGTTTCTTAACAGAGTTCCACCATGGTTCCACCATGGTTCCACTTCCATTTCCCTCGGGACAAGAGTTGGGACTGCTGTCGTTGTTCAGGCAACGCTCTCCGCCTGATCGATGTATTTAGTGCTTATTGACGAACGACTCGTGTTTTATCATTGGTGCTTTATATGAACATCTATTTTCTTCTATTCTTCGATGTTTTTTCTAATGTACAGTGTAGTTTACTTTGCTCTTTTGCTATCATTCTTGTAATAAACATTGTAAAGCTTTGCATGTAGCTGTTTTTGTAATATTGTTGTTTGAAATCGGAAATGCCAGTTGTCACACTGGGAGTTTATTATCGGTGTACCTTTGACACTGAATATTAATAAATACCTCTTTGGAATTATCATTGGCACAAAATATATGTTTCAGACTTATGTATTTTAATGGATCTCCGTGTTTACTAATCTTAATTAATTGAACCGGCGCAGGCATATAAGGCCTGTGTAACAAATGATTTGTTACACAGGTAAATCCTTGTTCACCTGCACCCAGTTCAGGGGTTTATTTTATACAGGAGATTTTAGTTAAAGAAACAAGAAAACAAATAAGGATATCTCCACAGAGTAGTTTGAGTGAAAGATCCAAAAGAAAGGATTTATTAACACTTAACCTCAAAGGTAGGCTAAGCTACAAAATATCACTCATCCAAATAATAAGTATAATACATAAAAACATGTATTGGTAAACATATAATAGTTATATATATCAGCGGAATCTTTAGCCGACATGCAAGGCTTCACAAACTTACAGTGATAACTCTTAACATATACAGGTAAAATAACTGATAGGAAAGGAACAAACTAAACTACACTGTACAGTAGAAACATATTAGGGAAATAGAAGAAAAGTATAGATGTTCATATTAAGTACAAATGATAAAACACAAGTCGTTCGTCAGTAAGCACTAAATACATCGATCAGGCGGAGAGCGTTGCCTGAACAACGACAGCAGTCCCAACTCTTGTCCCGAGGGAAATGGAACTGGAACCATGGTGGAACCATGGTGAAACTCTGTTAAGAAACAAAATCAAGGCAGGTCTTAAAAAGCTGCGACATAGTAACTTCTGGGGGAAGTTACATCACACGTCTATCTGCCTTGAAGTCTAAACTTGCTCTCCTACTTAATCAATAATAATTCTTCTTTATATGGAACACAGTAATTCAACAAAAGTATTTATCGTCTTACAAGTAGTTATTGGGCTATCACTAAACTATCTAATCAAAAGTATTTTACAATGACTGAAATATCTATAAATAGGTCTGGCTTGTGAAAAGTAGTATCTTAATTCATACTTAGTCGCAACCATCTTGTATCAAAAGTTAATGGATAAACACATGAAAATATAACAATGGTTTTCCAACGTAAGGAGAATCACACTAAACAATATCGTACAATTCATTCAAATTGCATGAGGATCTTATGATCTCTCTATAATTTACTAGAATAAAACATGAATATACTTTTAGGAAGGTGAGTGTTCGCTTACCTGTTAAGAAACAAAATCAAGGCAGGTCTTAAAAAGCTGCGACATAGTAACTTCTGGGGGAAGTTACATCACACGTCTATCTGCCTTGAAGTCTAAACTTGCTCTCAACGAGAAAGCCAATCTTTCTTCCAAACCAGGCAAACAACCCCACTATTCCCCATCCCCAAGACAAAGGGGTACCAGTAAGTGTATCCACTGGTCATTCATGATTTATGTACTCTACGAATAAAGGAAGTGGTCTGGGTTTAAGACATAAACAAGGCCTATAGAATAGGGGTCTTTTTGTTCCCATCTCTTTGTTTCACCTGTAGCATATACCAGAGAGGTGATCTTAATAGAAACATAGTTTAAAGGTACACTTTAAATAGGGGTTCAACAATTTAAAGTAATATAAGCTCACTCAAAAATAGAAAATAGGTTTACTAAAAAAAATAGAATATACCTTAATAAACAGGGTCTGACACTCTCCCCTCCTAGAATCATGGCGTCCCGACATCTTTAATTACAAGTTAATACAATAATACATTTCAGCAGACTTTTAGAGGACAGAGAGAGATTAACCAATCTCATACTTTCCTACCTAGATGGCAAGATGTAATTCTCTGTAGATGACCTCAACATTAGGTACACCTCTTCGGTCAAACACCGCATCCAACTATCAGACGACATTCCCTTTCCAGAGAACTGCCGAAGGATTCCTCCTTCCACTATGCTTCATTCTTGGGTAGAATGAGCTTCACCCGAAAGGTGGTGGCAATGAAGGATATTGGTTTGGTGCTCACTTGTCAATAAAACTTGTAAAATAAAAATAACCAGTGCCAGCGTTGTCATCTCTGACTGAACGCAACCCTAATTGTCAGTGTGAAAGTGCAGATGGGCCTCGATGTACCCAATGTATGGAACTTCTGATTCCACCTGCACCAAACACGAACAGGTCGTCATGGATTCCAAGTGACGATGCGCTAACTTTTTGTGATAACAATAAGCAGATATGCATGTCACTTGGGATCGGCCTAGTGTCCATAAGGCACTCATAGGGCACACACTCCGTCAACCTCAGCCCAGACAGTGAATTGGGTACCCACTACTAGTGCGGCTGGAGATTTATCAGATGTGGCCCGATGAGATGGCTTCATCTGCAAACTCATAATTGCAGATCGCCTTATGGAACTCTTCTTAGGTTTATCTTTGGCCACCTGTTCGGCCAGAAACTTCACTAGCTCTGCCTTAAACTTAGGGTTAGAGTCAGACATTTTTTTTAAAAAGATTATAAAGCTAAACTATCCAAAAACAGGGTTAACAAAATAGTTTAAGATATTGAGGTTACTAAATGTACCATTTATAACACCAATCAAGATTCTAGAAAGTGCTAATTATTATATAGAACATAAAAATAATTAAGTGATGATAATATCGAAATAGCAAAATAGAAACCACAATAACAACTGAGCTGGACAAGCACCCCTTGTTTACTGTTAGCGCCTGTCAGTAGTAGGGCTGCTACTACAGCAGTCCCAAATCTTGTCCCGAGGGAAATGGAACTGGAACCATGGTGGAACCATGGTGAAACTCTGTTAAGAAACAAAATCAAGGCAGGTCTTAAAAAGCTGCGACATAGTAACTTCTGGGGGAAGTTACATCACACGTCTATCTGCCTTGAAGTCTAAACTTGCTCTCCTACTTAATCAATAATAATTCTTCTTTATATGGAACACAGTAATTCAACAAAAGTATTTATCGTCTTACAAGTAGTTATTGGGCTATCACTAAACTATCTAATCAAAAGTATTTTACAATGACTGAAATATCTATAAATAGGTCTGGCTTGTGAAAAGTAGTATCTTAATTCATACTTAGTCGCAACCATCTTGTATCAAAAGTTAATGGATAAACACATGAAAATATAACAATGGTTTTCCAACGTAAGGAGAATCACACTAAACAATATCGTACAATTCATTCAAATTGCATGAGGATCTTATGATCTCTCTATAATTTACTAGAATAAAACATGAATATACTTTTAGGAAGGTGAGTGTTCGCTTACCTGTTAAGAAACAAAATCAAGGCAGGTCTTAAAAAGCTGCGACATAGTAACTTCTGGGGGAAGTTACATCACACGTCTATCTGCCTTGAAGTCTAAACTTGCTCTCAACGAGAAAGCCAATCTTTCTTCCAAACCAGGCAAACAACCCCACTATTCCCCATCCCCAAGACAAAGGGGTACCAGTAAGTGTATCCACTGGTCATTCATGATTTATGTACTCTACGAATAAAGGAAGTGGTCTGGGTTTAAGACATAAACAAGGCCTATAGAATAGGGGTCTTTTTGTTCCCATCTCTTTGTTTCACCTGTAGCATATACCAGAGAGGTGATCTTAATAGAAACATAGTTTAAAGGTACACTTTAAATAGGGGTTCAACAATTTAAAGTAATATAAGCTCACTCAAAAATAGAAAATAGGTTTACTAAAAAAAATAGAATATACCTTAATAAACAGGGTCTGACATTCATAAATATATACATGTACAAATTAAACATCATGGCAAGACATTCGTAAACCAGATAGTAGTAATGTCCATATGGTTTCATGACATAAAGATGGGGCTGATATGTGAAATGTTTATTTATTTATTTATTTATTATCCACTCATGGGATGGATAGCCCTTGTCAGCTATAAGCTGTTTTTCAAAGGGGTCCAAGCCAAGATAAAAACAAACAATCAGAATAATCAATACATGTATATACTCATAAGAATAGACAAATGAACACACACAAAATATAATTTACATAATATAAAAATAAAAATATATTAAAAAGGGATAAGGTAGTAACGAAAAAAAAAAATCACGAATAAGAAGAAAAGAAAGAAAACCGGGGTTCTTGTATTTTTAGCTTAATTTGTTAAATATAGGGTGTTAAGTCTGTCTGCTAAGAATGGTCAGGATGATGGGGGTACTATTAAATGTTTCTTCTAATTCTGAATGGATTAGGTGCTTTCCCGCAATACAGGCTTTACCTAACATCTTAACCAGTGAATATCATTACTAAATAGGGTCCGACTTTCCATTAAGACTACAGATGTAAGTACGCATTTGATGACCAGTATTAAACAACTGTAAGTACAGTGAAGCATTTGATAATTTGAACACTAAATATAATTTAAAAAAGATAAAATGTAACTGGGCGGGCATGCATTAGAGCAACCATACACTGCGTTACATGAACGCCCGAGGCTCTGGCAGCCAAAGAGCAGGGAGCGAGGCAGTCATACAGCGGGGGTCATTATGGGCTTTTTTTCTCGCGTCCGATTTAACTCGATCATTAATTACTCGGGCAGGAAACCCGAGTTTCCTTCGTATGGTCCCGTTAAAGCCATCTTAAAGGGGGTGATCTTTAATAGAAAAGGGATTACCGAGTACATGTATAAAACATCTCAAAACGCGTTTTTATGTCTATTCCTTGTGCATAAAAAGACTGTTTCGTAAGAGATTGGACTTGAAAGGTCTTGTGTTGCCTCACCTTACTGAATCTAATCAATCACAAGCACAAAGAAATATATCGACACTTAAGAAGCGCCAGACATTAAGCTGACATCCATTACTAGTGAGAAAAATAACGAAACAAAAATAAACAGAAGTGCCATTAGCTCAATTAGATTGGAGGGGGAGATTCGGATCAAGTTCGGCCGAAATTCCCCATCCCCTCCCAAAACATCTAAATAAAATCGAATTTACCGACAGAATATCAAATAAGGACATACATGTATTACTCGCACCCGCCCCCTCCCCCGTATCTCTCCGGTAATGCATCCGACCATAATTATCAGCTTTTATAATAATAGGAGTCAGTCCCGAAGTAGCCCGGGGGAGGGGGCACTCACATATTACGATATACGGGGTGTGCCGCTTTAATGGGTCACTTTTTCACAAAAAATCCCTAAATATTGGTCCCATTTTTAACAAAAATATCCCTAAACATGGGTCCGTTTTTTCAAAATTGTCAAAATTGTCAAAATTGTCGGGTGTTTGCATGGCAAACACCCGAAAAGTATGAAAATGGGCTGTACTCCGAGAAAAATCCCCCAAATGACCCTTAAAATGGTTAGGGGTTTCGAGGCTTGAGCGGCACACCCCCGTCCAAACCAAATTTAAGTACCCCCCCCCCCCCCCCCTCCCCCTCCCCCCTGGGCGAAATAGTCACCTTGCTTCATCCTTATAAGGTTTGACCCTTCATACCAGTTAACTCAATGACAAATAGGTTGTCAGCCTGACCTTCTCCGTCGGGGTAAGCCCAGAACCCCCAAAACAGACCCCAAAGTCGGGTCGATTTCACCACATCTAGCTATAGCCCATGACAACAAACTTTGTCAGCAGGCACAAAACACTGACAAAAAATACGTCGGAATAGGATGTAAGACCGCCCCCCCCCCCTTCACCCATCCCATAAAAAAATGGGTCAACTGTTCTTTCAGAAACTGTTATCTCCGGGATGTCACAAGAGCTTTCCCGCAAGGCCTTAGAAGTACATCGACCAGGGGAGTAACACTCCCCTAAAAATCACTAAAGTTCCCTTAAACTAAGCTTAACTGCCCCCAAAATACCCTGGATGTAAAGAAAGAAAATATGCCTTTTTTTTCATATTCCAATCTTAATAGCCCAAAAGTGGTTTTTAAAGACAGTTCAAATTTAATTCGCAATTTTGAGCATTGTATTGTTCTTGAAATACAAATTGGTGATAAATGAATATTCCGTCAATAGGTTTATTGAATTGTGAAAATTGTATTGCTTCATCAAATGTAACAAAAGTATTGTCAACATCACGCCCAACATTCTCCTGGCATAATCTGATAAGGGCATATCCACTTTGCTTACATGTACATTTAATGTACATGTAAGCAAAATTGTTGTTATGTCTGGTAAGCTTTTTACTTTTGTTAAAGAAATATGCATGGAATAAGTAAACATGTCTATTCTGCTTCATTTTACATTCATTTGTAGTAAAAAGGTTGGTGTGAGAGAACAGGGGCTTTTCATGGGAGAGCAGTCTGATTATTATTGCTTGACACTACAGACTGATGATCATGTTAATAGCGGCTATATACCCACTGGGCATGATATGACACAGGGACACCTTGGGTATCGTTTGCAGTGGGCTGATCAGTCAGTGAATTATGGCGCTATGTCGGGAAAGCCACGTTGATTGAAACAAGGTATGCACACCCTCGAGCACTCATCTTCATTTTACATAGAGACCGTGTTTGAGGGACTGAAAACATTATTTCACTTCCCCCTTGTATTAAAACGAGTCCTAACAAGAGGGAAAAGAAATAATCTCAGTCTAATTTGTGTATATACTGCACTGCTAAAATAAGGTTTTCACACTCCATTTTGCACATTTCTCTATTTTAAAGATATAATTTTCTCTTGTATTGCGTATAAGTTGAGCCTATTTAATATAAGAGGCTGGGTGAGGCCTATATTGAATGATTTCGTGTTTTTCCTGCATTTTGTTTGACTTGTGTCGACCACCTGTTGAAAATCCTGGTATTTTGTAAATCATTATCGGTGAGAATTTTTTACGAAAAAAAGTTATGGTGAATTTTAATCACATGACGCCAGGAATGTGTCAATTACATTTCTTTTCCGTTAGTATTTTAAATTAAAATTCACCCTTGGAGCGATTCAAGATGGTTCCTGAGATGAGAATTACTGTGGCCATTTCCTTCATTTCCATATTCCCGTTAAATGTGTATAATGCATGATTGAAAAAGGGGGTGTCTGAAATTTCTTGCGTATCTAGGGCTTGCTACATGAAATCTATCTGTTGCTGTTCTTGTTGTTGTTGGTGGTGGTTGTATTTTTGAAACCATTCAATTGATTGAGTATTTGAGTTACGGTGCATGCATTCTATATTAAGTTCGTTGTAATGTTGGTATAAATTCTTATAGTAATTTGTATCCTGAAGATGAAATTGGAAAATGATTGTGTACGAGATAAGAGGAGTAGATACGGGGGTAAATGGGGCACTTTCACCCGCCCCCCCCCCAAAAAAAAAAAAAAAATTAAAATCCACTGCATAACGAACGAAAGAAAGAAAGAACTTAAAGAAAAAAAAGAGAGTGAGAGAGAGAGAGAGAGAGAGAGAGAGAGATAGCGATAGAGAGGGGGGATAGGGACGTTAACGTGAAAAATATGATACGACCCCCCCCCCCAACACACACACCCTTAATTTCTTCGCTCGATTCACTTGTTCTATCGCATTTCAAAAGCGATAATCAAATGATAGTCCAAAAGTGTGGATTCTGTTTCAATCAATATTTGTTTAAATTGTGGTGATCTGAATTGATTGATTTCAACTATTTTGTCAGTCCGGTGCCCCCGCCCATATCCCCACTTGTGCCCCCTTCAGTGGCTCGAGCCGTGCTACGCCACCAAAGGAAGGCACTCGTAAGCATCTGACAACAGACTCATTTACTGGGCATTCATCACGGCAAGAGCCGTC